GAATTTTTGACCTTGGGTGAAAAAGATGCAGAAGCTGCTGGATCCACAAGATGGACATCATGGCCGAGGTGTTTGACATGCAATGACTGAAAACCTCCTGAATGAGGATGATTGTAAACGTAGACTACACAAGTCCTACACCTTTTTAACTCCACTGCAATGTTGATTTACAACACATGGACATTCTGTATTATGGTTACGTTTTTCAGTACTCATTACAGATAAAACCAAAAAAAATACATAAATAAAAATACTGGACTTTTTGGAGTTTTAAAAAAAGTCCTGTGGTTTTGTTTTTATCTGTTTTGGGGGGGATTTGCCGTGTCAAGGATAACTGAGAATCTTCACCAGCATTGTTACAGGTAAAAAACAATTACTTCACTTATCCTACACTATTGACGTAAAAAACACTGTAAGCACTTCACTTTTGATGATCAGATGGAAGCTCAAGACTTGAAAATGTTTCTTTTATTAGAAATAAAGACCTGTACAAAAAAAAACAATTATACACTAATTATATATGCAAACTTAACAAGCTACGTTTGGCTATTTGTGGGCTTACCTTGCAGGATCTACATTTCTATAGATCAACTATGATCTACTCTAAATATTTTTAAACATGTCTGTTTGCCATGGAACGGGCAATGGATTCCAGCACCCCGAGTGCCTGACTGAAAGCAGCACTCTGTTCAGCCTCCTGCCTTCGCTGTGCTGCTTCCTCTCTGCGAACATCTGCTTCCTCTCTCCTCAAGGCCATCTCCTCCCTCCTAATTGCCTTCTCCTGCTTCCTCGCTGCTGCAGCTTCTTCTTGCCTTGCTTTTTTGGCATCCTCACAAATAAAATGGAAGTGTTCCTCTCTCTGCTTCCGGTTCATCTCCTCTTGTTCTGTATGTGCAGAAACAAAACTCTCTGCTGCACTTGTTGATCTGCGCTTTCTATTGCCTAGGAATAACACACAAGAAAATGGCTGTTAGATGATGAAGTACAGGTAGAGTTTTTAAATAAATTATTTACATTAAAGTTCCTGCTAATTTCAAAAGGTTTACAAGATCAGAAATGATTCTGTTCATAAAGCAGTCTAGTACTTTAATGATAGTAAGCAGGTGGGCATAAATAAACTACATGTAGTCATTTACAACGGTTTGTGCTAATTTAGAAAAAGAACAGAGCATCGTTAATCTGAACAAAAATCACTACACCCTGTATAATTTCAATAATAAACTTCATAAATGAAAGTTTAAGTAATAAATGAATAACTAAATTTAACATTTATCCATTACAACTGAATAAACAAGTAGTTTGAATACATGCAAGGTGTTTTACAACAAAAACTAAACAACATTCATATCAACATGATCAATGTGATGTTAAACACGATTGTTGCTTCTTACCTAGTAACGGGTGCTGTTCGGTGCCGCTCTGCTGCGTGTTGCCCGGTGGCGTGCATGTGCCCGGTGGCGTAGATGTGCCCGGTGGCGTGCATGTACTCGGAGCTGTTGTGGTCGGGAAGGGTCAGAAGCGGGGAGGATTGGACAGTCAAAAGCAGAATCTGGCGAACCTTCATGTTCAGTGGGACTTTCTGCATCAAAATAAGAGTGGAAAAACAGCAACAGAGTACAGTTAGCAATGATGCTAACTAATGACGACGTAACCGCGTCAGCCTCGTTTGTTCAGAGTACTTTCAGAAAACGCAAAGAAACGGTTGCATGAGGAAAAGGAAATATGCTTAAAGTAAATAAAATACACTCACCATCAACTATTAGTTTTTTAAGCTTTCCTCTTTGCTTTGGTGTGCGATGGAAGCCCTGCACTGCCATCTGCGCAGACACCTCTTGAAAAATCTTTTCATTTCGTTTCGTTCCATCTAGCTCGCGCTGCACTTGTTCATCGGCCACCAAACAGAGAAATGCCTGAACTTCAGCATTCGACCACGGTTGTGCCATGATTATTTGTTTTACCTTATAAAATATTCCAAAATATGCTCCTCCGATTTCTTGTTGTCTGTTATGCGGGTGAAAAAGAAAATGGTGGATTGTGATTTCCGGTGGAAGACTGAATCTCCGCCCTCCACCAATGAATACGCCCCCTGACCAATCATGCTGTGGGGTACGTCATGGATTTGTGGGGAGTGTGGCAGTTGATGTGCCTCTCAGTCCTGTCTCAGGAGGATGTTGAAGACGTTTACATATTTGGAATTATGATAGCAGGGACTCTGCTTTTTGGCATTGGCGGGGCTCTGTTTTATCGACTTTTGAAGAAGACAGCAGGAGCAGTTTCGGCCATAGAAAAGCTTCCAAGTCAGTGTGAAGGTTTGATCCGTGCAGTAGGAACTTTAAATAATCTGGTTTTCAAGCTTAACCATAAGGTGGAGGCGATTTATGAGAATTGCAGGCCACCTGCGGCTTCTGGGACTCGTTAGCGTGGTGGGTTCGACCTTGAAGGAGACTCATAGCATGGATCAGTGGAATGGAATCCCACAATTAGGCATTTTTGGAACCAGAATGCCCAGATGGACTCAAGGCTGGAAAAAAGTAATCTCTGCCTGAAGAAAAACAAGAATCAAGCTTATCTAAATCTGACTCCCGACGGCCTTGGAGACTATCAAATTTCTCCTGGGTCATGCGTAACCATGGACAAATGCTTCATCTATCACACAGGAGTGGAGTAGGAGAAGGCTCTTTTGCCTAGTTCAGTTCTCAAAGAGGGAACACTGCATGTAATAATGTCCTGAGAGCGCACGCTGTAGCTGCACTCACACAGTGACATGTAGGAGGAGATGTATGAAGGCAGCAGACCAAGAAGTGATTTAAAGATGAAAATGTACCAGTGAGAGTATACATGAAGTTAATGATGTCCAGTTAACCAGTGAATACAGGGTGCAATGGTGGGTACGGTAGTTACAGCCAGTTATGAATCTTAGCGCACTGTGACAGACAGCATCCAGCATCTACAGGGTGCTTGTAGGGGTACTCATGTAAATAATGTCACTGTAGTCAATAGAGGGAATGACAGAGTTGCAAGGTGTTTACTAGCATTCAGACTTAGACAGGATCTGTTTCTGAAAAAAAAAAAAAAAATTTAACTTTCAGTTTCCTTACCAAGTTTTTCACGTGGCTTAAGAGAGAGATGTAAATCGACCAAGATTCCTAAATATTTGTCGAAATCGCCAAACTCAATAGGGGCACTATTCGAGGATAAAATCGGAGGAAGAACCGCTGGGACTGACTACCTGTTTGAAAACAGCATCTCTTTGGTTTTGTCAGTGTTTAGGACAAGTTTAAGATGGAACAAATCCGACTGGATTATGTAAAAAGCAAATTTCAAAAGCTGGAAAGCCTTATCAACTGTTTTAGCTCGACAATAAACAACTGTGTCATCGACATAGGATGCATCAGGGATGGTCTGACCTACATTACCTGTGTAGATTGTAAAGAGGGTCGGTCCTAAGACTGAGCCTTGTGGTACACCATTATTGACCGTTAAATAACTGTAAGAAGTACCATTATGTTGAACACATTGCCTCCGGTCTGAGAGATAGTTAGAGAACCAGCCAATGGTGTGATCTGAGAAACCAATTTCTGAGACCTTATGACACAAGATGTTATGATCCACAGTGTCAAAAGCTTTAGACAGATCTAAGTAAAGTGCAGCACAATAATCCTTAGCATCCAGTGCTTCAACACTGTCATTAAAAACCTTCAGCCAAACAGTCACTGTGCTGTGTTGTTTCCTGAAAACAGATTGATGGGGAGGTAAGATGTTAAATGAGTCCAAATACTTTTTGATTTGAGAGTTTATTAGTAGAACCTTAGCTAAAATGCAGAGTTAACTGAGATGAGAAGGGAGTTTGTGAATAAACAAAAGTTTTCTCATCCATATTTCAGGACAATTATATGGACAATTTAGTTGCCAGTCAGCCTAACATGTTTTTGGTCTGTGGGAGGAAACCAGAATACACAGAGAAAACAAATGCATGAATGAAGAAAACATGAAAACTCCACCCAGAAAGGCCCCTGGTCAGGATTCAGTCCAGCAGTCTTTTCAATGAGAGGCAACAATTCTACAAACAGGGACTGAAAAACAAACATCACGTCCATGTACTTGGAACAACTCACAGTCCATTGAAGAATTATCTGACAAAGGAGTTCTACTTTTGTTAACATTTCTAGAAATGACCCTGTGTTTACAATAATTTTTTTATAGAAACAATTAAAAAGATCATTATGGAAAAACTGTATTTCTGTGTAGCCATGTCATAAATGTCAACAATAGTAGGGGCAGCAGTATTCTTTTTTGAACGGTCACTGTCAGTGCTTGAGACATGACTTTATAATGACCTGCCACAGTGGTACAACTTTAAAACAGCAAAAAATAACTAAAAACTGAACTTGGAAACTTCAAGTGTGTTTGGGAGCATCTAAATAAATGAAAAACCATCAAATGTGAAAGAAGGATCTGTTAAAAGTAAAACTATCAAAACAGAATGGGACAGCTCCCCAGCACCTTTTACTGGCTGACAGAGTGATATGAGCTAAAGAATGAATGAATGCCTTTTATTGTCAATATACCCATGTACAATGAGATTAAGGCAACTCCTCTCACAGTGCAGCAATACACAAGCAAAAGTAAAAGTACAAATAATATGCTAAAAACAGTAGTAGTATATCACACTCTGCAGATATCACTCAGTTATGGCATTGTGCAATATTGTTAATAAAATTAAGTAATTTGATATTTAAACATATTAAACAATGCATAGTAGGTGGGTGGAATGGAAGGTTAGGCTGTTAGTGCATGTGTGGGGTCAGCATGGGTATGACTCTTGGAAGAAAAAAAAAAAGACAGTCTTCAACTTATCAAATGTCAGGTGGATGTTTGAGCAGCTGGATGTTTGAGCAGCTGGATGTTTGAGCAG